TCCAGAGGTCCAATTCAAACCGAATTTAATTAACCTTGAACCAATATTCCTTAGGGACTATTTTCAATTTTCAATTATCATAATTAATTACTATAATTTTCAATTATTTTTTTGAAGTTATACTTCTATACGCACGTTCGGCGTTGGAAATTTGCATGGGAGTGTGTAACCATTACATATGTAAGATAATGAGTAAGAGAGAGACAGAAGATATATTTTCTCTCTTCCTCTCTTGAGAATAAAAATATTCCTTTTGTATATATATATATATATATATATATATAATATATATATATATATATATATAATATGTATTAATATTATTATTTATGTGATATGTTTTGTATTATTTATTAAACGTTTATAATTATTTTAGGCTTTTGTATTTCAAAATAATCACTGTTTGACCAAGAACTGTCAATTTTGAAATCCGTTAGTGTCATATCTAATTGGCAAATCCTTTACGTGTTTGGTTCATACGCTGGTGTTTGTGAGTTCGAGTCCCAATTATGAATTTTCTTTTTTATTTTTGAAACATTTAAAAACCTCATGTTAATCTTATTAAATATATGTAATATAAGCAAAAATGCTATATTTTAAAATAAAATGAAATTTACAACATAATCGGAGTTGTTGGTTTGTCTTTTTATCTTCGTAAAGTAAGTTATGTATATTGGCAGTTTTAAATATTATGAATATTACATTTTAATTATATTGTATTATTATATTGATTATGTTGCAGTATATTTATTGTATAGGAATTTTTATATTAATAACAAAATAAATATATGTTTTCATTAAAATATTGATACAATGCTTCATTTACTATACTCCTATTATAGGTCAAATGTTTATATACAGCAAACGATGCACCATATACCTATATAACTAATTATTTTTCTCTTTCTGCTCTCTCTTACCTATAGCATTACATAATTTGTAATGATTGTGCAGATTGACTCCCATAAAATTTTTAACGGCGAACGCGTGTATAGAAGTATAACTTCTACCGGCAGTCCCACTGGATTGCCACACCCGTTTTTTTTATGTGCAATTTGCATATAAAAATTGCACAAGTATGAAGTATTTGAAATATGTCAAAAACACTAAATTTTAACTTTCACATTATAAACGATCTAAAACGTTTAAAATAGCTTCTTTTCGATTACACACGTAGGTTTTTTTGTCTAAACTACTACTACTAAATTATATTAAAATATAAATAAATATTATTTGAAAGTAAACTTATTATATAAATTAAATAATATGTTTAAATATAATAATTATATTTATATTATTCAATATTGTTGACATTTATGACTTTTAAATTTTTTCAATCGTTGTGAATCAAATTTTATTTTGTATGCAGCCAGAGGTCAATAAATCAAAATTTGTCTTTTTAAATCAATCAAATCAATCAAAAGTAAATCAATTTTTATCTATAGTTTTATCTATAGTACCCTATGATATCTCGTAGTATGTAGCTATACGTTCAATATTAATGAAGATAGTATGTAGTAGCCTTTTGGTATTCACCTTGTTTATTTTTTCTTACTTAATATATTCGTTATTTCGTCCCCCTTTATTTGCTATGTCGCATGTTAGGATTGTGAAAGTCGAACGAACTGAGATAGTACTCGGGCAGGAAAAATTCGACAACGGCCCATACATAACAGAGGTATTAGAGGCGATAAAGAGACATAATACAGTTAATACTGTAGACATAATACGGTTAATAGAAGAACAGCAAATTGGAATATTGGTCGACTTATTCAATACAATATACAGTACAGGAATCATTCCCAGAGATTGGCTGATGTCAACATTCATAACACTACCAAAAAAAACCAAATACAAAAGAATGCCAAGACCATAGGATAATAAGTTTAATGGGTCATATGCTCAAAATATTTTTAAAAATTATACACCGGAGAATACGCAACAAACTTGAGCAGGACATAAGTGACACACAATTTGTATTTAGAAATGCACTGGGAACGAGGGAAGCCCTGTTCGCTGTGAATGTACTTGTGCAAAGGTGCATGGATGTTAATCAGCCAGTATATATGTGTTTCTTGGATTAAAACAAAGCCTCCGATAAGGTCAGACATAACCGTCTTATCGAATTACTTGAAGAGAAAAACTTGGATATGAGAGACATTAGGATCATTAGCGCTATCTATTATAATCAGATCGCTATGGTAAAAGAGAACAACGTCTTTTCAAATGAAATAAAGATTGAGAGGAGCGTCAGGCAAGTCTGTGTCCTGTCTCCTACTTTGTTCAATTTGTATTTAGAGGAAATAATCCAGGAAGCACTAGAAGAACTAACTATGGGAATAAAAGTAAATGGCCGACGAATCAATAATATACGGTTTGCCGATGACACTATTTTATTAGCGGAATGTCTTGCGGATTTACAACAAATGGTTGACAGAGTGGTAGAAGTCAGTAAAGTAAACGGACTGTCCCTAAATACAAAAAAGGCACAATTTATGGTAATTACAAAAGTTTAACAGCACCAAGAAAACATAACAATACATGGAGAACAAATTAGGGTGTTAGGATTCGTTCAGTTGTTTATTTTATACTCAGCCAGAGACCTTCTTAAATTATTAAATCAAAATTTGTCTTTTAGTTAAACTATTTTTATCCGTAGTGCCTATGACATCTCGTATGTACCTATACGTTAATTAATAATGAAGACACATTGTAGTGCCCTTTTAGTAGTCGCCCTATTTATTTTTTATATCTTAATATATTCGTGATATACTTCCCTTTCATTTAACGTATCACATGCTCCAATCAGACAAATAACAAAGGATAAATGAGGTAATGCCCTCTTAGCAATGCCGCAATGTATATTTTTCCTGTCCCAATATATTTGCTAACCCTCTCCTTTTAATGATGTATTATACGTCACGATTCGACGAACTATTCTACCCCCACTACAACATGCTTAAAAAATGAGCAGAATGAACCGTGACATTTTCGTATGGGATTTTACGTGGAAAACGAAGCAGAAACGGTATAGCAGCATTTTTAAATGATTGTAAATGTGAAATGTTGGTAGTTCAGATACCTCAGATTTCTTTCCTAGGTGGCGTCGTTACCTTACTGGACAAGCGGTGTGACTTGTCGTCATAGCCTTTTATATAGATAGATATTCTTTTAATTTTTTACTTTTCATTTAATGTCTGTATTTTGTTAGGTATTTTTCAAGCAGATTTTAATTTAAACCTGCTAAGAATAAATATATGATGACTAGAAAATTGATCGAGAGTAGAGAACCGATGTGAAGAATCGATATTTTATGACGCTACCCCGTGACGATGCAAACTTGTGGCGCTAGTTCCGTGACGACGTCATCTTGTGGCGCTAGTTTTGTGACGCTCGCCTCAGCAATTTACTATAGCAAAAACCAGCAAAAAGGTAATACAACACCAGTATAGAAGCTTCGCATTAAAAATGTGATTCTAACATAATGGATGTCCAGTACATTTTTGACACATGTCCGCGGTTATCTAGATCATTTCAATTTGAAAATCGAGATGTAAAAACAAAAATTTTTTGCAGTTCGGTGGTTGGAAGAGGATCTTTATTTGAGATCTCCAGATGTATCTCTTCTTTAGTTCTATTTGTAGGAAACAATAAAAATTTGGTGTTTCAAACACGTATTTTAACTCGAGAAGAAGTTTATAGGTGTGTCTGTGTATACCTACTATGGCCCAGTCCGATACTTGTTAGGATTACTTGAGATCTTCTGCTTGTTGCTGTTGTTTGCCACGAAGAAATGCTACTTTTAATCTGTTTTAGTTTCGAAACCGAATTTTACCACTCCCGGTTCCAGGCTTTTAAATTACTTGTCACACACCGATATTTGACCTCTAATTCGTCGTTAACAATAGCATGGCGAGCAGGTACATCTGCCAATTAATTACTTTCCTTGCCTGTGGAAAGGTATCCACAAGAAGTTTACTATTCTAAGGTTTTCTTTGGCTTTTTGAAGTTCCAATTTTATCATTTTCTCTATAGGATGTTTCGGGTAGAGATTTTGCATGGCTTTAATTGCACTGAGGCAGTCGGAAAGAATAACTGTATGGAAGATGTTTTAGGTATTAATATATTGTAGGGCTTTGAACAATGCATTAACAAATTTCTGATGAGTATGCGGCAGAATAAGTGGGAAGGTCAAATTTTAAGGGACCATCTGATTAAGTTTCAGGACTGCTTTAAAGATTGCTGGATTAGTTTGATCCTTAATATTTAAGCTTCATAATGCATAATGATTTTCAGTTAGCTACACGATGAGTCAATCATCCATCTTGTACAATGAGTCAGCTTTCTTTAAAGTAGCAAGAAAAAAATCGAATTATTTTTAAGAAGTAGGGGTGAGTGGACAATAATATCTCAATTAACATTTTTCTAAAATTTAACCGGATAATTTTTAAAACCGGATAAATATATTAATAATTTTACCGTGATTTTAGGATTTTTAAAGTAAATGGAGATAAATCAATGGATTTGAAGATTACGCCACTAGTAAAAGAAAGGCAGTAAATATTATAGATTAATATTAAAAATGTTTTGTAAATTTTTGAATAAATACCAATTCCTACAAAGACTCACATACTCCACACGGATACATATTGCAACTGTTACAGCTGTGTAAGTTTTATAAGATTCAAGCAACGCTATGCATCATTATTATTTGCAATTGGGAAAAATATGAGGCAGCATGGTCTATCAGCAGTTAAGTTTTTACATTACTATAAAAATTAAATCTAATATTGGCATATTTGCACAAAAAATTAATTCTTTATTTAATACTCTGCGCCCCTCAATAGTCATATTTGGAACCCAAAAGAATTTCTATAAATTTGTCTTGATCGAATAAGGTACGAACTTTTTTTCAAAGACTCTCTATACTGAACTTCGCAAGATAGCCGGTAGCCGAAATTGTTGGGACGCCCTGTTTAAAGAAAAGTCAGTTTATTTACCTGAAGAATTCCCGCTGGTTCCTTATTTTTATATAATACTGCACAATGAAGATCATGTAATTGTTTTGCATCTGTAAAACTCCTAGTTAACCTTTTGTGTCCGGTACCAATTTTGTATTTATGTTTTGGCCTATAATTTTCATGAATAGGCACTAGATCTTCAAATTCTACGTAATCTCTATTTTCTTGAACGTTTCCACTAATAAATAAATATATTATTATAGAAAAATTATAGTTCATGATGCTGAGATTATTGGATTAATTAAAGTTCAAAACACCAACAAAATTTTGGAAAAAGCAATGTTTATAATTTCTTAAGAATGGAACCTCTTTCGGTTACCGTTGACGATATTGTTGAAAATACTACTAATATGACAGGTGTAAACAAATGGCCGAAATACAAAATTCGAAGATAAATACAAGAAAGAGTTGTTAAACTCTTAAAAATTGACAACAAATAAATTATGGGCGTAAATACAAAGTGAAATAATATAAAAAAAGACATTACCAAAACGAGTTCAAGAAAGTTTGACACAACACAGGTAGGAGGTTAAAAAAATGGATAACAGAAGAAATACTACTGCAGATGGAAGAAAGAAGGAAATATAAAGGAAAAGAAATACAAAAGTATAAAGAAATACAACGAATAATAAAGGACAAAATCAAAACAGCTAAAAAAATGTATTTGATGAAACAATGTATAGAGATAGAATAACTAGAAACAAAATTTGATATGAGACATATGGACACACAAAAAAGTCAACAAGGACACAAAAAACATGATTTTTTTTATTTTTTAATTTGTTAATAATTTCCATTGATTCAAATAAGGATTGCTAAAGGCCTGTATTTTAAATGTGAAGAATTTGAAAGTGGTCAGTAAAAGAATGATTATGTTCTAAAAGCCAAGAAGTTAAAGTGCGTACGTAGAATTTTTTTTCTATTGTTAAAAGTCCTTTTGTCCTCTGCTATCCGTTGGTTAAAAGTTTTAACCGTTTAACCGATGTAAGTTTTTGGGCAGTCGTCACATTTAGTTTGTATACACCAATGTGTAAGTGGTTTTCTTTTTGTCTAAGTTGTTGTTTGTTCTGATGGCTGAAGTAATTACTTTCTTTTTTATGTGTTTGGCTATTTTTGTTGATATCTTGCCTGTATATGTAATCGAGCAAAAGATACTGGGTTTTTTCTCTGGTGGTGGCAATACTAATTTTAGGGCTTTCTTATGTAGTTTTTGACGTAAAATTGTATTGATTGTTTGTTTCAGAGAACTACGATATGTTCTCTGGTTTGTTTGTGTACTCATTGTTTACTGCTATTTGCTTAATAATATTCAAATCTTTCTTGAAGTCGAATGTTACATGATTAATAGAAATTTACATGTAAAAATAAAGGTCTTAAGCAATCATCATTAAAATGTATGAAAAATAACAAATAAAAAATACAGACATGATTGTATTATTATTTGTTGTATTATTGGCTGCTTTTTTTGGGAAATAAAAGTGCTTGTAATGACAAAACATATTTTGCCGCTTTGTATAATGATGCGCATTATATTCAGTATATCGAAGAAATGCTTGGTATTCCTCGAAGTACAATAACCGGGTAAGGAAAGTACAGTTGCGTTACTGATTATGGAATCCGGAAACCAAGATCCGGCAGGAAAGAAAAAGATCATGTAAAAGACGAGGCCTTCCAGGTCAATAGCAAACAAAAGATGAAAAGAGTTTGAAGAATATACAAATGTAGACCAATAAGACTTGCAACATGGAATTTAAGAATCTTGTACCAGCCAGGAAAATTAGACAATTTAATATAACAAATGATCAGAACGTAAATAAATATACTGGACATAAGTGACGTACAATGGCCAGACACCGGCAGACTTATAGCCAAAAACGGCATGATGTATTATGCTGGAAACAACAATCCGGCTCATCGTTATGGAGTCACAATCTTGTTAGACACAGAAACTAACAAATCAGTTACAAACTTCACTCCTTACTCAGAGAGAGTGATAATAGTTCAGCTGAAGACAAACATACAAGTTAATTTAATTCAAGTACACGCACCAACAGCGGATAAAACTGAAGAAGAGATAGAAAATTTTTACATGGAGTTAGACCCAATTTTAAGATCTATTAACAAAGAAGACATTACAATAGTAATGGGGACTTTAATGCTAAAGACGGGAGAGGAAAAATTGACGATTATGTTGGGGAATTTGGACTAGGTGACAGAAACGCAAGAGGGGATAGACTTGTAGATTTTTGTCAAAATAAACATTTGGCAATAATGAACACAATGTTCCAATTATCCGACAGAAGATTATACACTTGGAGATCTCCTGCAGACAACAAAGACCGCCTAGTCAAAAATTAAATAGACTATATTTATTAGTCAAAAATAGATACAAAAACTCAATTAGAGCAGTAAAAGCATGCCCCGGAGCAGATGTCAACTCAGACCATAAACCGCTAATAGATAGAATGCACGGGAATCTCAAAAATATTGTAATAAATAAAAATAAATCAACGTTTGATTATACAACATTGAGAAAAAGAAAAATACATCAAAAAGTGATCCAACAAGTCAACTCAAATCTGACAGAAGTAGAAGAAGAAATCTTAACTTCAGAAGATGTCAATGAAAAGTGGAGCAATATTCCAAAGGCATTTTGAAGAAAGTCTACAGAAGAAAATTGAAAGCCTGAAAAGACAAACAAACAAGAAAAGTGAGAAAAGCCAAAGGGAGAAATGAGCCAAAATATCAAGAACTACAAAGTAGAATTAAAGTAAAGATAAAAAAGGCCAAGGAAAAGTGGTTAACAGATCAATACATAGACATAAAAGAGTATGACAGAAAATACTACAGCTTTAATAAACATAAAAAAAATAAAAGAACTAACAAATACCAAAAAGCGAGCACACTATGGGACACTCAAAGATGATAATGGTAAACTCATTACAGACATCAAAGATAAACTAAGATTTTAGCAAGAATACATAATGAAACTATTCGACGATCATAGAATGACATAAGAAGAACCACAGACAAACAGAAACAGGTAATTAGAAATGCAAAGACTGCAAAATTACTAGGCCCAGATCAAATACACACTGAGATAATTAAATGCATTGACGAAGACACACTGCATATACTTTTAGATCTGTTCAACAGGGGTTATACCCGAAGATTGGTTGCTGTCCACGTTTGTAACACTACTAAAGTCAGTACATGCGACAGAATGCTCCCAATTCCCAGTACAGACAATTTCTTTAATAGCCACACACTTAAGATATTTCTCAAAATAATACATGGAAGATTATACAAAAATAAAGAAGAAGATATAGATGACACCCAGTTAGGATTCAGAGGAGGACACGCAACGGGAGAGGCTCTGTTCGCTTTTAAGGTTTTCGCGCAAAAACGACTAGATATGAACCAGGATCTCTACGTCTGCTTTATAGATTATCAAAAGGCTTTTAATAGAGTATGACATCAGAAACTGGTAAAACTGTTAAAAAAAAAGAATATGGATAGTCGAGATATACGGGTTATTTTCAATCTGTACTGGAATCAAAAAGCAAAGGTTAGAATCGAAAATGTCGATACAGAAACTATAGAAATCAAAAGAGGTGTTAGACAGGGTTGCGTGCTGTCCCCATTGTTATTCAATCTTGAATGTTGTCCCCCTGACGTTGGCGATTAACATGGCGAAACTGTCTCTGTCTCGAGCTATTCTAAAGAGTTGCTCAGCTTTCCTTATTCCTGTCCATTCCCTGATATTCTTCAACCAAGAGGCCTGCTTTCTACCAATTCCTCTGCGTCCTTCGATTTTACCCATCATAATAAGTTGAAGAATATTATATCGGTCTCCCCTTACTACGTGTCCAAAATAGGCCATCTTTCTACATTTGATGTTATCAAGCAGCTCGCGAGCAGCATTTGCTCTCTCAAGGACTGCCACATTTGTCAGCATAGCCGTCCATGGAATTTTTAGTATACGTCTGTGCAGCCACATTTCAAAGGCCTCCAGACGATTAATGGTGGATATTTTTAATGTCCATGCTTCGACACCGTATAAGAGGACTGACCAAATGTAGCATTTAACCATGCGCTTTCGAAGTTGAAGTTGCAAGTTATCATTACAGAAGAATGACCTCATTTTTAAAAATGTCGTGCGGGCTATCTCGATTCTACATTTTATCTCTTGATCTGGATCTAGTTGTTCAGTATATGGCAACCAAGATAATTAAAACTGGACACTCTTTGAATTATATGACCATCAACATATAATCGTGCATCTTGATGTGCTAAACGGCTAAACACCATGTGTTTTGTTTTTGAACAGTTTATGTTTAGGCCAAACTCTCTTCCCACTGTATCAATGGCATTTAAAAGGCATTGTAGTCCATTCATGTCATCACTTAAAATAACTGTATCGTCTGCATATCTGATTGTATTTATCAGAATTCCATTAACTTTCACGCCCCATTCCAAATTATGCAGCGCTTCTTTAAATATTCTATCTGAATATAAATTAAATAACAGTGGGGATAGTATACAACCCTGTCTGACACCTCTTTGTATTTTACATATTTCTGTTGATTTTCCGTTTATGCAAGCTGTCGCTGTTTGACGCCAGTATAACTTTTCTATGAATCGTATGTCTTGACTATCAACTCCTTTATCTTTTAATATTGTAATTAATTTGTGATGCTGTACTCGATCAAAGGCCTTTTCATAGTCAATAAATACAGCAAAGACGTCTTTCCTTTGATCTCGACATTTCTGCAGTAATACATTTAGTGCAAAGAGGGCGTCCCGAGTTCCCAGTCCATTTCTGAAGCCAAATTGTGTTTCATCCTGGTCTTCTTCACATTTATCTCTGATTCTACTGTGGATGATGCGTAGAAATATTTTCAAAGTGTGGCTCATAAGGCTTATCATTCTATAATCGCTACAGTTTTTCGGACGTTGTTTTTTTGGTAGTATTATGAATTTGAACTTTAACCAATCTTCAGGGATATCACCAGTCGAATAAACATCATTGAAAAGCTTGACCAGTATTCCAATGTTCTCCTCATTTATAAGCTTTAACATCTCTGTCGGTATGTTATCAGGGCCAACGGCTTTCTTGTTCTTTGCTAACTTTATAGCATGCAGTATTTCTGATTTTAGTATTTCTGGTCCTTCACCTTCAACTAAAGTCTCCAGTTCTTCGGGTCTATCATCATTATACAGTTCACTTATATAATTACACCAGGTTGTTCGAATTTCATGTTCGTCTATTATCATTTTTCCGACGAATCGGTTATAGTATGTGGAGTTTTCTTATGATAAAGACCAGCTACTTCTCTAACTTTTTTAAACATATTAAACGTATCATGTTTTTCATTTAACTTTTCTTTTTATTTTTATCCTCCATCCATTTTTCTTTAGCCACCTTTATTTTTTGTTTAATTAGTTTCTGTTTTTCCTTATATTCTGTCTTGTTACCTTTCAGTTTCCTTCTCTGCTCCATTAATTCCAGGATTTCATCAGTCATCCATTGTTGTTTTTTGTGCCTGTGTAACGTTGTTGAATATTTTTCTATTACTTTCAAGGTAAGATCTTTAAATGTGTTCCATATTTCTGTGTTGTTTTCATTTATTGGTTTCTTTAGCTCATTGTTTAAGTCATTTTCTATTAACGTTTTGTTGGATATTGAGATATTTAATTTTGGTGTTTTAGGGCTTTCTTGGACTTTTTTGAGCTTCACTTTGATGTCAGTTATTACAGGGTTATGGTCTGAACCGATATCTGCACCAGGATATGTCGTTACTCTGGTGACGCTATTCTTAAATCTCTTGTTTACCAGAATATAGTCTATCTGATTTCTAATCATATGTAGTGAATTATCTCCTGGTCCCCTCCATGTGTATAACCTTCTTTTGTGTAATTTGAACCATGTATTTGCGATTATCATGTCATGTTCTTGACAGAACTGGTATAATCTATCGCCTCTGTCATTGCTCTCCCCTAGTCCATATTTAATCTGTACAGCGAAGCTATTTTTAAGGAAGCAATATCAGAGGAACAACAGGGTATATCAATAAACGGAAAAATCTTGAACAACGTAAGACTCGCAGACGACACCGCTGTTGTTGCAGACAGTCTAGAATCTGAAGCACTGGAACGCTTAGTAAATAGATTACATCAAGTCAGTATAAAATATGGACTACCTACAAATGAACATTAAGAAAACCAAGTGCATGATTATTTCTAAGCCACATATAGTAGGCAGGCTAGATATCAAGGAAAAACAAATAAAAAAAGTGAATAACTACATTGAAATTGCAAGACAAGTATTTATAAAAATGAAAACAATGTTTTGTAATCGAGACCTTCCTCCAGAGCTAAGGATAAAGCCTTAAGATGATACGTGTTCTCGACTTTGTTGTGTGGAATGGAAAGCTGGACACTAAAAGTGAATAATATAAAGAAGTTGAAATCATTTGACACGTGGTACTATAGAAGGATTTTGAAAATACCATGGACCCAACGAGTTATAAATTCAGAAGTGTTAAGAAGGCTACAAAAGGATTGCGAGTTCATGAAGCACATCAAAACAGTAAAGCTGGAATATTTAGGCCACAATACCAAAGGTGCGAAATATGAGATATTAAGGCTTATAATGCAATGTAAAATCAAGGGTAAAAGATCCATAGGTAAGCGAAGAATTTCCTGGTGTTTACCCAATATGTATATGTATAGAAATCTTAGGAAGCCAGACATACTAAATTTGCTAGAACAAAATCTATTCTAGTTTCTATATTTTTATCTATTCTAGATTTCTAGGGGATTAAAATATATTCAAATTATACAGAAGAAAGAAAATGGAACTAAGAAAGGGGGCCTTATGACATACAGAGTACATGCTCAGCTCTTCACATAGACACGTTATTAAAAATTTACAGTATATTTGGCAACGTTAACTATTTGGGCTCTATTTAAATTAAACTATTAAAAAAAAATTCAAAAGATGTGTTTATGCAAAGAAATAGAAGAATTAATATTTAATAAAACAATAAAAACGGTACCTTTCACTGTTTATCACTCTTGATTCGTTTGAATTAGGCCTTTTCAACAACAATAATAATAGTAAAAATATGGTTGTAAATTGGAACATTGTAAAATATAAAGGTAAACGAAATGATACACATAAATGTCAATTTAGTATAAATATTAAAATTATTGACTAAACAAACGTCATTTAGAAAAGGATAACGGGAAATCTATTGTCAACTAAAATGTTTTGCCTGGTGATTTATAGCAGTCACTACTATAACATTATATTTTCTTCTTTTTTTAAATTTCCATCTCCCCGCAAAGACAGACAATTATAAATACTAATATAATTTACCTGTGGCTCAGTGGCAAGAGCGCCTCTGCCTTTAAACCTAAAGGTCGTGAGTTCCAATCCCACCTGGGTGGAAATTTTCGTTTATTAAAAAAATTAATGAATGAAAATAATGTCTATCCTTGTGTGCTCGGTACACACCGGAGGGACCGCAGACGTTCGGATACAATTAGCGTCTCAAACACACACACACACACACACACACACACACACACACACACACACTACATTAATAAACTTATCTTGATTGAGACTGGCTGAATGACAATTGTCCAAGCCAAAACACAAACAAAAAAAAAATATAATTTACCATTTTTATTGGTAATTAACCATAATATTAGTATAAAAGACGTTTTGTATTTTACATACTGTATTTTGAGGACGATTTCCGACCTGGAAATCGAAATGTCAAAATAAACGTCTTTCAAACTAAAAGTGTGGTTATTTCTCAGTAAAAGTAGTAAATATTAATAAATATCCACAAGAGATTAGCTTCAGAACTATATTGATTTCACCTAAGGATGTAAAATTATTTATTACTTCCTCAAAAAAGAAATTCAGTTAGTAGCTCGGTATGTTTACCTCAAAGGTCGCTAGAGATCCTGATACTTCCTATATAAGATCCCTACACTTTCGACATATGAGACTCAACATCAGCAAGAACCTAGTTTAATTCGGTGAAGTTTTTTTTTCCGTTATCACAGGTCTCTACGACTATCTTCTTCTAAATGTGCCTATCTTCTAGAGATATTGGCGACTACATTGACCCATCTTATTCTATTCACAGCAGCTCGAAATAGATCAGTTAATGTTAGACCAGTCCATTTCCTAAGATTTGCCAGTCAGGATATACGTTAACGTCCAGGGCCTCTCTTACCCTCAATCTTGCCCTGTAGAATCAACTGTAGAAGTAGGTATTTATCATTACGCATGATATGGCCGAAGTAAGCCAATTTTCTGTATTTTATGGTGTTAATAATTTATTTGTCTTTTGTAACGTCTCTAGACTTGATTACTTCTAGAGCTTGTAATTCATTATAAAACTGTTCGAGCTCTTCATCCGACTTTTCTGCTGTGGGAGCATATACTTGAATTATATTGATTCTAGATTGAGCTATTTTTAGTGTTACCATCATAACTCTATCCGAGATGGATAAAAAGTCAGTTACAAATTTCTGGGTAGTTTTGTCAACTAATATCGCTACTCCGTTTCATTGATTTGCGTCATTGTCATTACCAGAGAAGTATATCTTTGTTTGGCCTACTGATAGGTCACCTGAATTGTGCCATCTGGTCTCACGTAGTCTTAATATTTTTATGTCTACCAACTATAACCTACCAAATAGACTGTATTAATCTTAAGGTATTTTTATGTTGCTGGGATATACTTGTAAAGTTAAAACTACGCCTATGACTGCTTCGATGCTCCAATGATTTCTCTTTATGGTATAGTATACAGGTGGTATGCACACTAGGAAGTGTTTTTAACAGTGAAATTAATTCAAAAGATAAGTAATAAACCCACAGTAGTATTGGCCATCAAATTACGAAAGCTTGAATACCAGGACATATAAAGAGAAGCCAAAAAGTTCTATCAGACGCGGCCTCCTGCGAATGGGGGATACTTTCAAGATATTTGATTGACATGAAAATGCATACTAATTTATGTTTAGGGTCGCTGCCTGGGGATTGCCAGGGCACGTCTGGAGCCGGCGCTAGACGTGACAGTATGCGGGATGTCGGTGGCAGGGTGTTGAGGAGGCGAGTTCCTATCATACAATCAGCCCAACAACAATAACAACCACAAGTGAGCCAAACAACAAGGGCTTACTCTCTGATAGTGCTGCGTTGAAACATCAACCTATGCTTACTCAAGCGAGACGACCGACGCAGTGCATGAAATGCACTGTATATGTGTATGCAGTGTCTGTAAACGAAAACATTTTGGACTTCTATTACAAGATGATGAACCTCGGTCGAGAAATAATCGCCTATCTGCTAACTTAACGGCTAAAACCTGTATGCCAAATTTTGCAGGGAGTACTCAGAGATTCAAGTATCTGAACAGCGAATAACAGATTAATACGGGGTAATTCTAAGAAATATTATCCCAGATACTAAACGCGGTACAAGAGATACATAACCAAGAGCTAGTTGTAGGTCAAGTACCTAATAAAATCCTTAATAAGCAGATTCTTGAGCCTCTCATACAAGAGTTATTATGCAGCAGAGCAACAATGAGTTGCACGATAGTCTGGTCAGAAACTAGATACATTCCATTTACATCGTAAAAGCCCATACATTAGAATATTTGCATATGCTCATTTACTGTGCAGCGACAGCAATTGCTACTGTTTTGGGTATTACTATCACAACACTACGGCACACTAATATCAAAAGGACTGAAAACAGAACTGCATATGGGATATTGGACAAATTAAGGAATACATTCGAGGAGTAAGAAGTTGAGCGGAATCCGAACGGAAAATTGACCACAAACAAATGAAAACCGAACTAACTTCTGAGTTTGTGTAAAGAGTATGATAGCTAAATCGGTCATGTCTTAATATTTAAAATCTATTTAAGGCGTTAAATACGTACGACTGTTCCGCGCTTAGCTACTCATTTGGTATTATAAAGTGGTCACAAGTAAGGAGTAAACACTTCTGACAAAGGCACAAAAACATCATCCACGCAGTGCAGTAGAGAGAACAATATTATCGCGGTATCAAAGAAGAAGAGAACTAATGGGCATAGTTGAGCAACTGGATAAATAGGTTGATAAATTAAGAGCCTATTTTCCGATCCAAGCTGAGACCTCTACTTTACATCGAGCGATTTATGCAGTACATGACACACCACCGCTCAAACTGTGGAAACAAGAACTGCGAATAAACCATCTGACTAAGCAAGAAAAAATGCGCACCTGGTTGAATAAACCTCTGCATGGCGACATCTCAATGAAATCAGTCAAGAATATGTCGACAATGTAGCGTCAATCTATTGGTTGACATCAGGCAAGATGTTTCCCGAGATAGAGGGTTTCCTACTTACCATTCAGGATCAGGTTCTTCCAACTAAAAGTTACCTAAAATATATTGTAAAAGACCCTCAGGTTCAAAACGACCAATGCCGATAGGGACGTCAAGCCTAAGAAACCATTTAACATTTTACGAGGAGCCAGGCGTTTGTCGAAACTGATTACAAAGAACGCCATGACTCAGTAGAAAAGATTTTTTACCAAAAACTAGCTAGCTAGCAAACAGGGACTTCTCCAAACTGACCATCTTCCTCATTATAAATATGTCCATGACATAATGCTTAAAAACAACATTTATAAACTTTACTGGGACCGCACTGTGCTCACAGAACAACCAGCGGAACATAATAGACCGGATCTCATACTAGTTAATAAACTTACTAGACAGACAACACTAACAGATGTGGAGATACCTAACAATAATAATCTGAATGTTAAATACAACGAAAAAAAGTACTCAGACGAACTCTATTATTCTCTCTACTACTGGAGTTATTCCGAAGAGCATCTTAGAGAACAAAAAACAGCTGGATCTTCATAAATATCTCTATAAGACCATGCAAAATGTAGTACTATTCTCAACATCTTGATGCGTACGAAAATTTTTAGGAGATACTCCTACGTACCAAGTCAGCCAGGACTCGATAACACGGAAAGAGGTCCACCAGAGCTCAATCCTTTTGATACCGTAGGTATCTGGGATGAGTGAATTTTCCCCTTAGAGGGAGTGTGAGCCGTACGGCTAAATCTGGAGGCCAAATACTAAAAAGGTGAAGTGTGGAAAGACTAAAAATGTGCTAAAATTAATAACTTGGATGACTAGTTTGGATGCAGAATCGCAAAACTGTATAGATTGGTGGTATTCTTCAGGATACTTGACTATATCAAGAGTAATTTTGAGGAGTCATTTTCATTGGTGTAAGCTGCTCTATATATTAGAATAGAATAGAATAGAAATATGCTTTATTGTCACTGAAAATTATTGAACAATTTTATGGACAAAGCTAACAAATAAATCAGTCAAATAGTACAAAAAGGATAAAACAAAAACAAATATAGTAAAAAGCAGAATAACACAATTTTTAAATTAGTAAAATTATTGTATAACCTACATAATTTGTACAGACAACAACAAATGAGACAAATTGTAGCCACTGCTTGAGACACCCAAATGTAATTATAAACAATACTAATTTTGTTTCTTTGTTATACATTAAGAAACTCAACTGAATAATATGGTCTTTCTGAGAGATAGATTTTTGTCACCTTACGAAACTTAATGAAGGATGTTGCGGATTTAATTTCTCTTGGAAGGTGATTATAAAGTTTCTTTGCACGATATAGAATAGAATTCTTTACTAGCTGAGTGGACGAGATCGACAAATAAACGTTACAATCCGAATTTCTAATGGAGTTGCCATGGTCAGGTCTATCGGGAAAAATGTTTAGATGCTTTCGAATCAAACAAACCGTTTCCAAAATAAATAAAGAGGGAAGCGTCAAAATTCCGTGATTTTTGAAGTAGGTCTTGCAATGAGTTGTTTGTTTGAGACCAAATAGATAACGGATTGCTCTTTTTTGCAACTTAAAAATATTATCAAATTGGGCCGCTGTACTAGAACCCCAAAATAGAAGCCCATATCGAAGATGGGACTCGAACAATGAGAAATATGCCATTTTGGTAGAAGATAAATTTAGTTCCTTCGAAACAGATCTTATTGCAAAGCAAGCTGAGGCTAGTTTCTTCCTTAAGGAGTCAGTATGCAAAAACCATTTGAGATCACTGTCAATGAGAATATCTAGAAATTTCACGGAATTTACGATATTGATTTGGCTCTCATTCAAAAGCAAGGGTTGCATGACTCCTTTATAAGATAATGCTACAGTCTTATCCACGTTAAAGCTAAGTAAGTTGGAGTCTGACCAAGCCTTGATTACAAGTAAATCAGCGGTTATAATTGAATGAAGCGTTGAAATATCAGAGCTGCTCCAAGTAATACTGGTATCATCATATTGTATTATCTATGTAGGTATGTCTTATGTTCGTAGGTACATTTTTATATTTATTTGTGGTATCTTCTTTCTAATACTTTTAAATTATAACTAATCTACAGAAAATAATTAAAAATCATTGTATAGTAAATTTTATTGCACATTCGAATTTACAGATTCATTTTTACACACCTCACGCATCATATAAGTTTCCTTATTTGACGGTGTCAGATTGAAAAATTTAACTCCAAAGTTTCATCTTTATCGGTATAAAGAAGAACTGGAATAGACAAAGAAAACTTGAAAGCAAGGTATGAAACTAAAAAATACATTCGAAATACATCATTTATTATATAAAATAAAGTAAGTTGTAGCTGGGAAACAGTTAATATAAAAATATTAATAACAATTTTTTTGAAAAGCAACATATTATGTACCTCTACCGTAAGCTAAAAAAGTATAAATATATCAGAAATTAACAATGATAATCACACTTAAAATTAGGAATGTAGTCATGGAATTTTATTCGTTACCACAGGCAAGTAGAATTTATGAGATTTCGTATCCCTTGTATGTTTAAATGGGCCTTTTGGCGCGTCCACTAGTCCAGCAGGACATGGACCAATGTTTCTTGGAGAATATTCCTTTTTATATGAAGTCACGATATGTGTACTACTATCACCCAAGGTTATATTAGACACATTAGACCTTCTTGTTACACGTTCCACTTTTTGTATATTTTGTTGTTTAGTAAATTCTCCGTAGGACCTAGCTTCTGACTGTCCGTAAAAATGTCCACCCACTGAAAGATTATCCCTTCTTACAATCTTTTCTGGCCTTTCTATAACTTGATAAGTATTTTGTTGTTGAAGACTTCGTCTATTCAGGTTGTTGGATTCTTGATTAGATCGATGCATTGAACTTAAACTGTGTCTTTCTGTATTGACTACAGTTCTACCTTGATCGTGGATATTGCACACAGATTTGCGCATGTCTAGTGCTGAAGAACTAGTCGCATGAAGTGCTTCGGACGAGGTGTGAATACCCTTACGATGCAAAATTTGATTATTTATTTCCTCAGACGTAACAGAACTCTTTTTGTGATGGGAAGTTTTATTAGATACTTCTTTATTAGTTGTAGAGTGCGTATGATCTATTTGATTATTGAAAATCTGTGAAGATTTGTGAATATTCGTTTGATGGACATTAGTTTGAGACGAAGATTTTTGAATTTCGTTTACATTAGTCTGTTTTAGGTGACGTTCGGAATGCTGACTAGCTTCTTGCGCCCCTGTGGTTGTTACTGTTGTTGTTTTTATTGTCGTAGTAACATTGCCATTATGAAGCGTTTTTGTGTCAGTAGAAACATCAGTGTGTGACTTTTGAACAGTTTTAACGTCCTTTTTAGTCGCAGTATCGTCTTTTACAATATTGTTTATTTGAGTTGTATGTTTTTCTACTTTATTGATAACGTTATTATTTATAATATTATTAACAGTCTTTTTATCAACTTTTCTAATGTAAGTTTTATAATTACTTTGATTTGTCGTTTGCATGTTTGTGGTATCATTTCCCAGCATAATATGAGATTCCGTATGTTTATTTTTATTAACTATATGGCGACCAGGAGATACTTTTACTGTTTTATCAAAACTATCATGTGTAGTGGTATGAGTCTCCATTTTTCCAGTACCCACTTTTAGATGATCTTCATGTTTCTTTATTTCTGCCCTCTCACCTCTTACTACTGTATATTGAGATTTCGCTATTGTAGTATCCTGAAATTCTCCAGTCATCTTTAGGTTATCCTGCGGTTTTCTAACAGGAGCTCTTTCTCCTCTGGATGGTTTAAACTCATCTTTATTTCGGGGCGAACCAAAGAACTCACCTTCTGGTTTAAGGTTATCTGGATGCTTTACAATGTCGGCTCTCTCCCCAGGGCCGTACTTAGGTGATGTAGGTTTTTCGAACTCTCCCTCGGGATGTAAATTATCTGGATGTCTAATTGGAGTCCTACGTTCACCAGGTCCAACCCTAGATGGAGTTGGTCTTTCAAACTGGCCCTCTGGTTTCAAATTATCTGCTGGTTTTTTAGGAGTAGACCTTTCAGCAGGTGACCAACCGGGTTTATCTGGTCTATCGAAGTCACCTTCTGGATGCAAGTTATCTTGATGTCTAATCGGTGTTCTCCTTTCTCCAGGTCCAATTTTAGAGGGTGTTGGCCTATCAAAATCGCCCTCAGGCTTCAGATTATCTTGTGGTTTTCTTGGGGTAGGTCTCTCTCCTGGACTCCAGTGAACTTTGTCTGGTCTTTCAAAGGCACCTTCTGGACGAAGATTATCATCATGCCTTATGGGAGTACGCCGTTCACCAGGTCCAATTTTTGACGGAGTTGGCCTTTCAAAATCTCCTTCAGGCTTAAGATTATCTTGAGGTTTCTTGGGAGTAGGTCTCTCAACTGACTGATATTTAGGTTTATCAGGTCTTTCAAATTCTCCTTCTGGGCGTAAATTGTCCTCATGTCGAATAATTTCTGTTTTTTGGAAACCAGTAGTATATTCATCTCGTTTTCTGTATTCATTAAACTCTCCAACCATTTTCAAATTATCTTCATGTTTTATAATTTCACATTTTTCTCCTCTAACTACTTTATAATCGTCTCTGGTACGCATATCCGTAAATTCTCCTTCCACTTTCAAATTATCCTCGTGTTTGATGACTTGGGCACGATCGATAACAGTAATGTTATTATAATCATCTCTTCTACGAATATCCCACTGACCCTCCATTTTAAGATTATCTTCGTGTTTTATTATTTCATTTCGTTCCGTTACAGTCAACTTCGAATAATCGTCTCGGCGCCTAATGTCCCATTCACCTTCCATTTTAAGATTATCTTCATGTTTAACAATTTCAACTCTATCTCCTCTGACTATTTTGTAATCGTCTCTTCTAGTAATTGTCATTTCACCTTCAGGTTTTAAATTATCGCCATGTTTTATTGGCTTTCTAATTTCGGCCGGACCAACTTCTATAATTTCGGGTCTCTCAAATTCTCCTTCAGGTCTTAAATTATCTTGGGGTTTCTTCTGTGTAGGTCTCTCTGCAGGTCTGTATTGCGTTTTTTCGGGAACTTGCATTTCTCCTTCTGGTTTAAGATTGTCTTCTGGCTTTTTGGGAGTAGGGCGCTCAGCCGCTTTATATGTTGGTTTTTCAGGGCGTTCAAAGTCGCCTTCCGGACGTAAGTTATCATCATGCTTGATGGGAGTTCTGCGTTCAGCGGGTCCGACTTTAGTTGGACTTGGTCTTTCAAAATCTCCTTCTGGTCGAAGATTATCTTCTGGTCGTTTCTGCTTTGGCCGCTCAGCCGGCACATATCCTGGCCTGTCAGGTCGCTCAAATTCGCCTTCGGGACGTAAGTTATCGTCATGCTTGATAGGAGTTCTGCGTTCAGCGGGTCCCACTTTAGTTGGACTTGGTCTTTCAAAATCTCCTTCTGGTCGAAGATTATCTTCTGGTCGTTTTTGCTTCGGCCGTTCAGCCGGTACATATCCCGGTCTGTCAGGTCGCTCGAAATCACCTTCAGGACGTAAGTTGTCATCATGTTTAATTGGAGTCCTACGTTCAGCAGGTCCAATTTTAGTTGGTGTAGGTCTTTCAAAATCACCTTCAGGTCGAAGATTATCTTCTGGTCGTTTCTGCTTCGGCCGCTCAGCCGGCACATATCCAGGCCTGTCAGGTCGCTCGAATTCACCTTCTGGACGTAAGTTATCATCATGTTTAATTGGAGTCCTACGTTCAGCAGGTCCGATTTTAGTTGGTGTAGGTCTTTCAAAATCACCTTCAGGTCGAAGATTATCTTCTGGTCGTTTCTGCTTCGGCCGCTCAGCCGGCACATATCCAGGCCTGTCAGGTCGCTCGAATTCACCTTCTGGACGTAAGTTATCATCATGTTTAATTGGAGTCCTACGTTCAGCAGGTCCGATTTTAGTTGGTGTAGGTCTTTCAAAATCACCTTCAGGTCGAAGATTATCTTCTGGTCGTTTCTGCTTTGGCCGCTCAGCCGGCACATATCCAGGCCTGTCAGGTCGCTCGAAATCACCTTCTGGACGTAAGTTATCATCATGTTTAATTGGAGTCCTACGTTCAGCAGGTCCGATTTTAGTTGGTGTAGGCCTTTCAAAATCACCTTCTGGACGAAGATTGTCTTCTGGGCGTATTGCAGTGGGCCTTTCAGCTGGCCTATATTTTGATTTTTCGGGACGATCAAAGTCGCCTTCAGGACGCAAGTTATCATCGTGTTTGATAGGTGTTCTACGTTCTGCTGGACCCACCTTAGTCGGACTTGGACGTTCAAATTCTCCTTCTGGTCTAAGATTGTCTTCAGGACGTTTTTGTTTGGGCCTTTCTGCTGGAACGTATTCTTGTTTATCTGGTCTGTCAAAATCTCCTTCAGGGCGAAGATTATCTTCCGGTCGTTTTTGTGTTGGACGTTCTGCAGGTTTGTATTTTGGTTTTTCTGGACGTTCAAAATCTCCTTCTGGGTGCAAATTATCATCATGTTTAATAGGAGTCCTACGCTCCGCTGGCCCCACTTTAGTTGGAGTGGGCCTTTCAAATTCTCCTTCTGGGCGAAGATTATCTTCTGGTCGTTTGGGAGTTGGGCGGTCAGCCGGTCTATATTTAGCTTTTTCTGGTCGCTCAAAATCTCCTTCTGGGCGTAAGTTGTCGTCGTGTTTGATAGGAGTTCTACGTTCTGCCGGAGCCACTTTTGTCGGGGTTGGACGTTCAAAATCTCCTTCTGGTCTAAGATTATCCTCAGGTCTTTTTTGTTGAGGTCTTTCAGCTGGAACATAACCTGGTTTATCTGGACGTTCAAAGTCACCTTCGGGACGAAGGTTATCTTCTGGTCGTTTTGGCGTAGGACGTTCAGCAGGTCTATATTTACTTTTTTCTGGTCGTTGAAAGTCTCCTTCAGGACGTAAGTTATCGTCATGTTTAATTGGAGTCCTCCGTTCAGCTGGTCCCACTTTAGTGGGAGTTGGGCGTTCAAATTCTCCTTCTGGTCTGAGATTGTCTTCAGGACGTTTTTGTTTTGGCCTTTCAGCTGGAACGTATTCAGGTTTATCGGGTCTCTCAAAGTCTCCTTCGGGACGAAGATTATCTTCCGGACGTTTTTGTGTTGGACGTTCTGCAGGCCTGTATTTGGCTTTTTCAGGGCGTTCAAAGTCTCCTTCGGGATGCAAATTATCATCATGTTTAATTGGAGTACGACGTTCAGCAGGTCCAACTTTAGTTGGAGTTGGACGTTCAAAGTCTCCCTCAGGTCTAAGATTATCTTCAGGACGTCTTTGTTTAGGTCTCTCAGCTGGAATATATTCAGGCCTGTCAGGACGTTCGAAGTCGCCTTCAGGATGGAGATTATCTTCTGGACGTTTCGGAGATGGGCGTTCTGCAGGTCTATATTTTGGTTTTTCTGGGCGCTCAAAGTCTCCTTCGGGACGTAGATTATCGCCATGTTTTATAGGAGTCCTACGTTCAGCTGGTCCTACTTTTGTTGGAGAAGGACGTTCAAATTCTCCCTCAGGTCTAAGATTATCTTCGGGACGCTTTTGCTTTGGCCTTTCAGCTGCTATGTACTCTGGTTTATCTGGACGTTCAAAGTCACCTTCAGGGCGGAGATTGTCTTCTGGTTTTCTTTGTGAAGGACGTTCAGCAGGCCTATACTTCGGTTTTTCTGGTCTTTCGAAATCACCCTCTGGTCTTAAATTGTCATCATGTTTAATGGGTGTTCTACGCTCTGCTGGTTTTACTTTGGTGGGAGTAGGCCTTTCAAAATCTCCTTCAGGTCTTAAATTATCTTCTGGTCGTTTTTGTCTCGGCCTTTCCCCTGGAATATATTCAGGTTTATCAGGTCGTTCAAAGTCGCCTTCTGGTCGTAGATTATCTTCCGGCCGTCGTTGTGTTGGACGTTCTGCCGGTCTGTATTTGTGTTTTTCTGGTCTTTCAAAATCACCTTCTGGACGTAAATTATCATCGTGTTTAATTGGCGTTCTTCGTTCAGCAGGTCCAATTTTGGTATGCGTTGGTCTTTCAAATTCGCCCTCGGCTTGAGATTATCCTCTGGGCGTTTTTGTTTGGGCCTTTCAGCGGGTACAAATTTTTCAGGTGTTCGTTTTTCAAAATCTCCTTCTGGTTTAAGATTATCTCTAGGCTTCGTTGGAGTTGGTCTTTCAACTTGTTTAGGAATATAATCCTCTTTAGATTTTGGAGTACCATGGAAGGGTCCTTCGGGGCGTAAATTATCACGGTGAATTATTACAGTCCTGTTGAAATCTGTAACGTCATAATTTTTATACACATCTTGACTAGTTGTTGTTACTTCGGTTGTTTGGGTCGAATAGAATTTTTCAACATCGTCTTTTGTCCATGTTCTTCGTCTAACTGGGGTCTGTCGAACTACTAGCTCGCCTGTGAAGTCTGTCTTGTTTGTGGTAATATCTGAAAAATATAATAAAACAATAAATGTAAATGTAGTCAACAATAGAAATCATTTAGACGTAGTGCATAAAGGTGAGAAGGTATGTTAATTTGAAGAATTTTAGAATAAAAACAACACTACAGTATACAATTGATAAATGAATAGGTATTTAGTAGAATTACACATCCTACTAAGCAGGTTCTTATAGCTTTTAAAATGACCACAAAATTTGAACCAACAAAACTACACAAGCGAAGAAATTAAAATAGATTAAAAACCATTTTGTAATTACAACACAAAAAAATGTTCAAAAATTGACAACAAGAAGTTCTAAAACTGTAGAAAGAGGGAAATAGAGCTGTAGAAAGAGAACTGTAGAAACAAGGATTATCAATACATCTAATATGCTTTATAGGCTTTATAAAACCAGTTAATACTAGTAGTTTGTACCAATAATTAACAAACAAAAGCCAATTTAAGGAAAAGCTAACTATGCAAATATCGGCATGGCTTTAATGATTACCAGGTAGCTTTGAATTTACAGAAAAGTGGGAAAAGTTGAAATACAGAGTAAGATTATGCGCACAGTTTCATATATTGCTTCAGAGGAAAACAAATAAAATACCAAGTAATATGAAAATACTAAAAGACGAAAATAAAGAACTAAACTAAACAAAATAACAATACAATCTTAGATCAGAATAAAATAATTAACTGGATACAATTCAGCAAAAAAGTAGAGAAAAGCGTAAAATAGACGCGTTCTGGACAAAAAATTGAATATATGTCAGAAAATAATAAAATGAAGTGACCAAATGGAAAAGTAACCAATCCCTATTATTCAAGATGGTCTAAAACTAAATTTTAAGTCATAGATAATTGAGTAAGGTAAATGGTTTTTAAAAGTACCTGCACATATTATGGAATAGAGAAAATCGAAGCCTTGAATATAGTTATAAAATATTATCAATCAATGTTTTTCGTCAATCAAAGTGAAGAAACTACTAACATCCACAAAATAAGTTACTTACATAAAATGATATGAAAAGACATTGTATATTACACAATATAATATTATAAGTGTAGTAATTAACTCGAATCAATAGCAATAATCGCAAAGATATTCAATAATATGTACAACTCTGTAGAAATACCAACAGAATGGCTGAAATCTGAGTTTATTGCACTTCCAAAAAAAAACAGGAGCCAAAAAATGCGAAGATTACCGTATTATAAGTCTCATAAGTCATCTCCTAAAATTGTTCCTCAAGATAATTCTTAAAAGAATCTACAAGCTCTGTGAAAATCAAATTTCCCCCAACCAATTCGGTTTCACAAATGCTGTTGGTACTAGAGAGGCTTTGTTCTCAGTACAAGTCTTATTCCAGAGCTGCAGAGATGTCAACTGCAACGTATACGCATGTCTGGTTAATTACGAGAAAGCATTTGATCGAGTAAAGCACGCCAAGATGATATAAATACTAAAATAAGCAGGAATTAACAACCAAGATCTGAAAATAATTAGAAATCTTTACTGGAATCAGACAGAAAATCTCAGAGTTGAAGGTAAACGCACTGACTATGTGAAAATCATGCTTGGAGTGAGGCAAGGCTGTATTTTGTTTCCTCTAATCTTTAATCTGTACTCTGAAAGAATATTTATCGAAGATTTGCACGAAACTGAATAAGGTATTCTACTAAATGGTTACCGGCTAAACAACATCAGATATGCAAATAACACCATAGTATTTGCGGACAACTTAGAAGACCTACCTTACAAAATCACGTATTACAGTCAACAATATGGACTTAACATAAACGTTAAGAAGACAAAGCTTATAATAATTAGCAAGAAAAGGATAACAGAAAGTCAACTCTATGTCAACCAATCTCCTGTAGAAAGAGTGACGCACTACAACTACTTCGGCACCATAATAAATGAAGAATGGACCAACAACCAGCAGATTAGAACACGCATCGAAAAAGCTAGATCCATCTTAAATGGATGGGGTCTTCTTTCAAGAGTCAAAACCTCTCTCTTGATACAACAGTAAGAATACTACGATGCTACGTCTTCTCTGTCCTTTTTTATGGTGTTGAATCGTGGATCTTGAACGAAGATATGTGCAAAAAGCTGGAAGCATTTGAGATGTGGCTATATCGAAGAATACTTAAGATCCCGTGGACTGACCGAGTCACAAATGAGGAGGTCCTCAGAAGAATGAATAAGAACCGAGAGGTACTGACTACCATTCAATCTCGAAAGTTACAATTTTTTGGACATATTATGCGAAATAAATCCAGATATGCTCTCCTTCAAGCCATCCTGCAAAGAAAAATATTTGTAAAGGAAGGTTCAGGAAGAAGAAGAACATCTTGGTTAAAGAACCTCAGAATCTGGTTTAATGCAACATCTGTGCAGCTTTTCCGCGCTGCTGCAGATAAGATAAAGATTGCCATGATGATCGACAACATTCGTAATAGATAGGCACATCAAGAAGAAGAATTAATTACCTCCACAACTTACTGATAGTACTCGCAGTTGGTGTATGGGGTGGGAATTTGCTGGTTCTAAGACCGGATAAAGAATTGATAGATGACGCAAGCAAGATACCTCCCATAATATACTCGTATTGCTTATAAAACAGATAAAAAGCTTCCGAAGAGTATGGAAATTACGGAAACGATGCACGCAAAGAAAATGGGTAACAAAACAGAATAAGAAAAATATACTAATAGCAATCTGGAACAATAGATCATTAAATAACAGAAACCAGGAAATAGAAAAATATTTTACCTATAACATCGTCATGTGCACTTACAAATGATAAAGAACAATGAAAAAGATCAAGCGGCAGTTGAAGAAACTCAGAAAACGTTTTAATCAATGGTACAATATTGAAAAAATGTATTATTGATGAATATTATTGATAAAAACATTGTAACTTTTTATACAATGTTTTTCTCGAAAAAATTATTATTTAGGTTTTAACAACTTCATTGTTAGTCTGATACCAGAAAGCAAGGTAGTGGACTATTACTAAGAATAACATCCAAGTCAATTTACCAAGATCTTCTAATGAGGAAGACCATAGACAAGAAGTAAATTCTTTTTTATTAACTACTGAGCATAATAAGCACGTATTAAATTTTAAAAACTCGCGTGAAAATACAAGTTTAAAATTTCAAGCAAAATAATAACACCTATCATGTACTACCGAACTAACTTCTACCGATAAAAATAATACCAAATGTTCACAATGCATTACATACTCAAGATATATCGACAGCCGAAACTTCTATATGCACCAAAGGTACAAGTTCATTCTGAGTGGCCTTAATAACAAAACTTAAGGACATTGGCACTTTTCTTATGTAAAAGTGGTTTCAGTTAAATTGCAGAGAGATAGATTTGGTTATGCTGATCAAAAGTAATTAGTGCGCCAAGACTCAGAAATCAATTGTAATGGGTCGGCTTCTAGATCTTTTAAATAATACATAATTATTTGTAAAATATACGGAGTTTTAGTAAATACGTCCAACTAACTTTGTCCCCCTGTTATTCTTCTATATATTTTTTCCGACTTTCGCATTCATGTCAACAATGAATATCTTTATATCATATTTCTGTATATTCCCTATTAGGGTGCTTAGCTTTTCGCAGAACTCTATTTTGGTTTCTAAACTTTTATCTTCAGTGGGCGTATGTACATTAATGATAATTATCTTCCTATACTTTCCTCTTACTCTCTTGTTCTTATTATTCTTTTTATGTAGACATGACTCTGTCTCTTTTTCAATGCGCCTCTAGTACGTTTTCGTTCCATGGTTTTCGTGGTCTTCCTACTGATCGTCTTCCTATTGGGGACCGTCTCTTGCCATCTTTACTACTCCATTTGCTGTCATTCGGCTTCTATGATCATTCCATTCTACTCTTTTATTTCTTACCCAGTTCTTGAGGTTCTCCATCTTGCATCTACGTCGTATATGTGTACTTTTAGCTCTGTCTCATTGTGTTTTCATCCCTGTTATTTTTAACATCATTTTAATCTTGCTCTCAAGTAACATATTCGATTTGATATTGGTGGTTGAAAATTTACAACTGCTTTGTTTATTTTCTTCTCCACATAAATCTCACTGTCAAAATATCTCTTCGTCCTCCCACTCTTGAATAGTGTGCTCTTTCCTATTTTTATTATTTCATTTGCCAGTTGTTTCATTTCTTGCAGGGCAAGGATATCTATTGTTTATTTTTTTCATAATTTGGTTTAAGTTTCTTAAACCTCCCTGTCCTCTTACTTCTCCCATTCCATGTCCCAATTTTCATTATTTCCTTGGATTGTTGTCTTTTTATTTCTTTATTTTTCCGTTTTCCATAGTCGTATTTATTTTCCTTGCCGTTTCTGCATACCTTCCCAGATGTTTTTCTTCTACTAGTTGTTTGGCAATATTAGTCTGGTATTTTCTTCTAGTTGTTGTTTTTCTTTATACAGTTTCACAATGAAAAGGTGAAAATTTAACTAAAACCACTTTTTACATAAGAAAAGTGGCGTGGTCCTTTGTAGATCAAATAGAAAAATATTTATGTATCACAAAGGATCGCTAACAGTAAAATTAAGAATAAATAAAAACTAAAACATTGAAAAATTGGAAACTTCTAGAATTAATAAAAACAAGTATGGAAACAAGTGTGGTATTATAAAAACAGATTAGGGTAATGAAACAACTCTTGAAACAGTCACATCAAACAGGATAAATGGATATTTTTTTAAACTTGAAAGAACCGGAAACAGGTCTTACAAGAAATACCAAACGACTGAAGAAAGAACAGAGATCTCAGAACAAAGCATTTTCTTATGGGAAACTCTCTAAAGGAAATACTCTTATTGAAGAATTACAAGATTTACCAGAAAATCACTGTAAACAATAGAATTCCTTACAAATGAAAAACAACAATAGAAATAATGATTTTTTTTTAATAGGAAAAGACCTGAATAACTAGGAGGAAATAAATTTACTACTACATACTACTCTAAAACTAAAAAAAATGGGAAAGAACAATATTAGAAGAGCAGCAAATATACAGCAATACCGATCTTGCTCAGATGCAGTATTCATCGTAAGCAAATAAAAGGAAAATTCCTGACATATAACAATCTATTGTTTATGTGCCTAGGAGATCTAACAAAAAATGCTCTTAACCGACTAAACACACAAGATGTGATACACTTATTGTATGGTAGACACATTAGGTACATAATAAAAACATAATAAAAACGGTAGAAAAATATTTAAGGGCAACAAAGTAACTACTACAATAGAGGTTGAATGAAAAAGCCAATTACGATCGAGAAAGACATAAGACGGGCTCTCTAAGTTCTTTTTGTTTGTTTCATTTGATCATTAACGTAATTATAAAGGAAATAAAAAACAAAGGATACAGAATTGGCATAACTGTACTGAAAACTATAATACTTCTTCTTCTTTGAGTATCGTGTTGACGTCAGTGTCGGTAAGCATTGGATCTACATTACCGACCAACGCGTAACTTAACATGGTTCCGAACCTTTAGTCGTGACCGAAATCATATAGGGAAGGGGCCAACAAACACATAGACACAAAAAAACAAATATGGCGGCGTATTGCCAAAAGGACACTAAGCTTGTAACGCCTAAACGGCTCAACGTACAACAACGTGCAAGGTATCGTCGGAAAGAGGAGGGGGTAACGAATACGTTAACACATAAAACAAAGATGGTGGCGTATTGCCAAAAGGACACTAAGCTTGTAACGTCTAACTCAACGTACAACTACGTGCAAGGTATCGATGGAAAAGGGAGGGGTCAACGAATAGTAGAACGAAATTTTAGACATAGAAAAACATGCCATATGCCAATATTATGACAAATAATAATTAATATGACAATATACCATAAACACAGAACGGCGTATAGATTAAATAATATTATCGTCCATCATGATTTGCCGATATCGTTCTCGATCTTGCGCGGCATGTAATACCAATTCCTATTTTCCGTCGATCTTTCCGTTGAGTATCAAATGCATTATCCTGTATCTGATTCCTCTTATTATATGCCCCAGATATTCGAGTTTTCTCTTTTTTCTCATCTTTCTTTTGTTCCATTCTTCTCTGTTACACAGAGAAGAATGGAACGATCCATCCTAGGAATAATTCTGCGAGACAAAATAAAAAACGAAGAAGTCAAGAGAAGAACCAAAGGATTCTTCTTCTTCTTTGGGTGCCGTCTTCAATGAAGGTTGGCGATAACCTCAGCAAAATCATTTCTGTCCCTGGCTTTTCTTATTAAAGATTGAGAATCCAAACCAGTCCACTCACGAATGTTCTTCAACCAAGACGCCTGCCGTCTACCAGGACCACGTTTTCCTTCTACCTTCCTCTCTATAAGTAGCTGCAATAGCTGGTATTTCTCATTTCTGTATATGTGTCCCAAATATGAGGTTTTCCGTGTTTTCATTATTTTTAAGAGTTCTCTGTCGGTACCCATCTTGTGTAGGACCTGCTGGTTGCTCATATGCGCTGTCCAGGGGACTTTCAGCATCCTTCGAAATAACCACATTTCAAAACTTTCCAAACGCCTGAGTGAGTTGATTTTGAAGGACCAGGCCTCCATTCCATATAGTAAGGTGCTGTAAACGTAACATTTCAGCATTCGGTATCGGATTTTGAGATTGAGTGTTTGGGACGTAAACATTTGTTTCATTTTTAGAAAGACATTTCTTGCTTGTTCAATTTGCGATTTTATTTCTATGTCTGGATCTATATCTTTCGTTATCCAGCACCCTAGATATCGAAATTTCTCGACATTTTCGAGAATGTTACCATTCACGTTTAAAGCCATGGGTGGATGGATGGATGTTTTGGAGACAATCATTGTTTTTGTTTTCTTGACGTTAATGCTGAGGCCGTATTGTTCTCCGATCGATCTGACGCGATCTAAGAGTGTCTGGAGATCCTGTGCGCTCTCTGCAATTAGGACCGTGTTGTCGGCGTATCGTACATTATTTAGAACTCTGCCGTTAATTTTAACACCTTCTCTTGATTGCTCTAGTGCTCGTGCAAAGATTTCTTCCGAATATATATTGAAAAGTAGTGGTGACAATACACACCCCTGTCGTACACATCGCTTGATATTGAATATTTCTGTGTCACCGGCTTCTGTTCTAACTGCTGCAGTTTGGTTAAAATACAGCGTTTGGATAATTTTAAAATCGTTCTCGTCTAGTCCTTTTTTGTGAAGGCAATCCATCAGCTTATCATGTTTTACTTTGTCGAAGGCCTTTTGATAGTCAATAAAACATAAAAAGAGGTCGTTTTTTTGGTCTCGACATTTTTGCAGCAGTATAATAAAACTGGTTAATGCTTCCCGTGTCCCAAATCCATTTCGGAAGCCAAATTGTTCATCACTGATATCCTGTTCACATTTCTTATAAATGCGTTGGTGAATAACTTTCAAGAAGAAGAAGAAGAAGAAGAAGAAGAACCAAAGGATAGCCAGACTAAAATGGAGATGGGCAGGATACAGCTGGAATGGCGAATGGGTGATATACAAAGAAATTATTGAAATGGAGACCAAGAAAAGACAAGAGAAGAGCCAGACAAAACAAACCAGACAAAACAGACAAAACAAAAATAGACGAGAGTGGCGCAAGATAGATAAGGTTGGAAACACAAGGAAGAGGCTATGTTTAGCAGTGGACTTTTGAGGCTGGATGATGATGAAACTTATCTAACTAGACTAAACTTAGAGTTAACTATATTAAAGTTATAATAACCTTCACAGTGGCCTATACCAATGTTACAACCCTGCTCTATAAGATTTTTACATGATAATTTCAATAAAAAAGAAAAAATTCTACGTTTTCCTCAAAAGAACAATTCCAATGTAAATAAGCGACTGAAAACCAAACAATTAAACAAGTTTTAAACGTGGAATATCTGGGAATAAAATTATCTACTGACGGCAAAATAAAATCAGTGCTTAAGTTTTTCATGAACAGAAGTGAATATATAAAAGCGTGGTTAAACCAATAATGTACAAAGATCCGACCAATGCAAAGCTGAGGGACTTGACAAATGAAAGGAGATTCACGGAATGGTCAGACAATCACTGAAACCGAAAAATATTCCTAATGGTCTATAGGCAAATATGCCTGTATAGAAAAAGAAGGGGGAAGCGAAGAATAAGATATTCCATCAACACTAAAATTAACTTCAATATATTATTACCTGTAAAGTCTCCTTCGATGGTAAGATTGTCTTCACGGCGAACAATATCAACTCTTTCTCCCCGTACAACTTTGTAATCTTCTGTGATTGTTGTTGAACTAGTAAACTCGCCTTCTGGTCTCAAATTATCTTGTGGTCTCTTTACAATAGGTTTATCGGCTGGTCTCCAATCTTCCGGTTTACGTTTTTCAAAATCTCCTTCTGGTCTAAGATTATCCTCTGGCTTCTTAGGCTTCGGTCTTTCAGCTGGACTCCAATCTGGTTTTTCTGGACGTTCAAAGTCTCCTTCTGGTCTTAAATTATCTTGAGGGCGTTTAGCATCTGGTCTGTCGCCTGGACGCCATTTTTCCGGTGTTCTTTTTTCAAAATCGCCTTCTGGACGTAAATTATCTTCGGGCTTTGTTGGCTTTGGCCTCTCAACTGGCACCCATTCGGTTTTCTCTGGCCTTTCGAAATCTCCTTCAGGTTTTAAATTATCGTGTGGTTTTCTAGCTTCTGGTCTGTCACCTAAAAAGTTTATAATAAATTAATATTTTTTCTAGAACTACTTTAATTTGTATAATTAGTAAAGAATATTTTTAAACGACTTAAGTAATTCTATTAATACTGCTTTAATATTCGATATAATGTAATATTGTTTAAATAATATACTCTCAGTACTCTAGAAAATGCCGCTGAACCTCTAAAAATCATATGAACAAGCTGAATTTTGCTGAAAATGTCCATTTTGGGACATCAAAAAATATTCAAAAAGTGTAAACAATGCCGCAGACTGCTTGAATGAAACAATATGGAGAAATAAAAATATAGGGAAAGAAATGAAAGGCAGAATTTACCCACCAGTCATCAGACCAATAATGACATACGCGGCAGAAACACGACCTGACATAGAAAGGACAAAAATGGGACAGAGCTAGAAATATAGATATGCGACGTAGATGCAAGGTGGAGAACATCAAAAACGGGGTAAGAAAAAGAAGAGTAGAGTGGAACGATCATAAAAGCCAAATGACAACAAATAAAGTAGTAAAGACGGCAAGAGACGGTTCCAAAATAAGAAGATGATCAGTAGGAAGACCACGAAGATGATGGAAGGACAACTTACTGGAGGCTTACTTAAAAAAAGACAGAGTCATATCTACATTAAAAGAAGAAGAAGGAGAAGACCCCGGGCTTCCTCCAAAAACCTTCACTCGTAGGATGGGCAAAACGAAAAAATCGATTTAACAAGAATCTTTACACCGCAGAAAAAAATGTTTCAAATAAAAAATGTAGCTTAGATAACTGTGAACAAAAATGTTTAGTATCACTTTTTATGTAGAACGAATCGTTCTTTTGGAAACAACGCTAGAAGCGACCGGCGATTTTGAATGTCAGTTAAGCGCGCGAAATCAATTTTAAATAAACTTTGTATCAACTCGACGGTAAAAATTCGATATCTTTTGATGAGAGTATCATAGCGACAAAAATCAAAATAAGTTTTAATGGTGAAGAGTGTAGCTTTCGTATGCAATTTTTCTGTTTTGTCGCAAATGAAGTCAATTTTTATAAAGGTGTTACATAAATAAACGTTGCGCGATTTTTACCATTTTTTACGATTTTCATGAGATTAATAAAATGTATCATTGACCGGTCGTAGTAGAAAGCCATTCTGCAGATGTGGAAATACCAGCACCAACACTTTAAGAAGTAAAGAATGGGATAACATTTCTTAAAGATCACAAAGCGCCAGGAAATGATGGTATAAATGGAGAATTGATAAAAAAGGAGAAAACGTTTTCCTTTAAAAATTGTATGACATTATTCTGAGAGTATAGCAACAACAGAAAATACCTAGGGAATGGAATGGAAGCGTTATAATACCATTACATAAGAAGGGAGATAAAGAACAATTTCTAAACTGTAGAGGCATATCGCTTATTAACACAGCATATACAGTTCTATCAATTATCTTGCTAAAGAGGCTCACTTCGTATCCGAAAGATATTCTAGGCGGCTACCAATGCGGATTTGGTGCTGAAAGGTCAACAATAGATTAAATATTTACGATCCGACAAATATTAGAAAAAAACTGGGAATTCAACTGAGATGTATACTAAATTTTCGTAGATTTCCAGCAAGATTATGATTCGATAAAAAGAAGCAGACTATGGCTAGCTATGCTAGAAATTGGAATACCATGAAAATTAGTGTAGTTAACTGAAATGTGCGGGACACACTCATATGCACAGGTCAAGATAGGAAACAGAACATCAATGACATTTGTCGAAAACTATTGTTGGCCTTTGCTGATGATTTAGATGCAGTGGCGCATTCTACAAGAGACGTGAGAGATTTGTTCTCACAACTTGAGGAGGAAACAGGTCTTTACAGGTGGGTCTTTGAATAAATGAAGAGAAGAAGTAATTAATGATCACGACCTCGAAATAGTAAAAGAGTTTAAATATCTACGGGCAGTAATCACAGATGACAACCACTAGAAAAAGAGCTCTCAGTAAGGATAGCTGCGGGAAATACAGCGTTATCCTCCCTATCATCATTATTAAGATCTAAGCTGCTGAAAATACAATCTAAATTAAGACTGTCATTATCAGCTCTTGGCAGTTATGGCATTACAGCTCGTTATGAGCCAAAGCCTTCTTCAGAACCATCTCTCATTCGTCCCTGTTTGTGTCAACTCTTCTCCATGCTTTAACTCCGATGGATTTTAGATCATCCTCTATGTTATCTTGATACCTAAGTTTTGGTCTTACTCTGGCTCGTCTTCCCACTGGTCCTCTTCGGTCGAAAATTTTTCTGATCAAAACTTCTGTATAACTCAAACTTGTAGCGCCTTCTTGGACTCCTCTATATATTTTCCTTAGAATTTTTCTTTTGAAACGTTTAAGCAATTCTTGGTCGTTCTATGTAAGTGACCACGTTTTTGATTCGTATGTTAACACTGGCCTTATTAGTGTTTTATATATGGTAACTTTAATTTTTCTGTGTAGTTTTTGGGACCATCTGTTTATTCAAGACATAATAGCACTTATCGGCAAGCACTATTCTTCTTTCAATATAGATCGCGGAAACAAGTAAGCTGTTGGTATTTGAAAGGAAGGATCTCGGAATGATGTTTGACCCTTAAATAGATGAATTAATAGAGTAGTGAAGATCTTTAATATGAATGTAAAAACTTTAAAAATTTTCAATAACTAATGTTTGAATCAGTGTTTTACATGCTACTTCTTTTTATTTTAAAATGTTAAAGAATAATTTTTTTACTACCAATAGAGGTTGTAGGTGAAGGTAAATAATTTTTGATATTATAATAATATTATATATTTATATATATATATGTATATATTATATATATATATATGTTATATATATATATAAATTATATACTATAGTATATATTATACTATTGTATATTGATACATACATATATATATATATTATGATATATATAAATAATTATATATATATATATATATATATAAATATATATTAATATATTTATATATTATATATATATGTATGTATTAATATTTATATATATATATATATATTATATTTAAAATTTATATAATATATATATTTATACATACATAGATATTATAGTAAATATATTATATATATATATATATATATATATATATATATATATATATATATATATATATATATATTGTCAGAGAGAGAGAGAGAGAGAAATAAATATCTAGACAAACTTACCAGGTCGCCATTTTTCAGGAGTACGCTTTTCAAATTCTCCCTCTGGTCTCAAGTTATCTTCAGGCTTCTTTTGTTGTGGTCTTTCTGCAGGTCTCCATCCAGGCTTTTCAGGTCTTTCGAAATCACCTTCTGGTCTCAAATTATCTTCTGGTCTTATTTGTTCAGGTCTATCACCAGGCCTCCATTTTTCTGGCGTACGCTTTTCAAATTCACCTTCTGGTCTTAAGTTATCTTCTGGTTTCTTTTGTTGGGGCCTTTCTGCAGGTCTCCATCCAGGTTTCTCTGGTCTCTCAAAATCACCCTCTGGTCTTAAGTTATCTTCTGGTTTTCTGGCTTCTGGTCTATCACCTGGTCTCCATTTTTCTGGTGTTCGTTTTTCAAAATCTCCTTCCGGTCTAAGATTGTCCTCAGGTTTCTTCTGTTGTGGTCTTTCTGCAGGTCTCCACCCAGGTTTCTCTGGTCTCTCAAAATCACCTTCTGGTCTTAAGTTATCTTCTGGTTTCCTGGCTTCTGGCCGATCACCTGGTCTCCATTTTTCTGGTGTTCGTTTTTCAAAATCTCCTTCTGGTCTAAGGTTGTCTTCTGGTTTCTTCTGTTGTGGTCTTTCTGCAGGTCTCCACCCAGGTTTCTCTGGTCTCTCAAAATCACCCTCTGGTCTTAAGTTATCTTCTGGTTTCCTGGCTTCAGGCCTATCACCTGGTCTCCATTTTTCTGGTGTTCGTTTTTCAAAATCTCCTTCCGGTCTAAGATTGTCTTCTGGTTTCTTTTGTTGTGGTCTTTCTGCAGGTCTCCATCCAGGTTTGTCTGGTCTCTCAAAGTCACCTTCTGGTCTTAAATTATCTTCAGGTTTTCTTGATTCTGGTCTTTCTCCCGGTCTCCATTTTTCTGGAGTACGCTTTTCAAAATCTCCTTCTGGCCTCAAATTATCTTCTGGTCGTTTCTGTTGTGGTCTCTCTGCAGGTCTCCAACCAGGTTTATCTGGTCGTTCAAAATCACCTTCTGGTTTAAGGTTATCTTCTGGTTTTCTGGGTTTTTGACGCTCTCCAGGTTGCCATTCTTCTGGCTTATATCTTTCAAATTCTCCTTCCGGCTTCAAGTTATCATCGGGTCTTTTGGGCTTCGGTCTCTCTGCTGGACTCCATTGTGGTTTAGACGGCCTTTCAAAATCACCTTCTGGTTTAAGATGATCTTGTGGTTTTATAATAGGGTAACGCTCCCCTCTTACTGCATTGTAGTCATCCTTAGGCTTACCAAGGAAAGGACCTTCTGGATGAAGATGATCGTTGTAATCGTCTGGGTTATGTGGGCAGGTATGTCGTCTAAAAAAAAAAGAAAAATAAATTATTTTATTATATTATCATTTTTTTTTAATTGTATGGAAAATTCAGTACACGCATAACTTTTTGTTATTTCGAAATATAATTAATATTATACCAAATACATTAATGGAATTTTACAACCGATCGAGCAATAAAAATACGAGTTCTGTCGTTTTTTGTTGGCCTCCAATGTATGATACATGAGAACGGGAAAGTTCTAATGGTAATTCAATGGATAAGATATAGAAATGACAATGTTTTGCAGACCAGTGATCCAAAAAATCTATAGACTAATTAAGCATGCTGATAATAAAAATCGTCAAATTTGCTAAAATTGAATGTCAAAACACAAAATGGATGATAACTATCCAGTATCATAATTATTATCATCTTCAAGGTACTTGTTACCACCCTAACATATTTCGTTATTAATAGTACAGAATACGCCTCTGTACTGTACTTCTTTTCATTTTAGTTACCGCAAAAAAAATCGAGTTTTCATTAAATGTCTTAAGTTTTATTATCTTACAAATCAGACCCTTTTGTACATCTTATTTACATGCGATTATCGTTAAAAAACCAATAACCTTTTTCTATACACACATACATTTTTTGTTATTCTATTTTAACTAAAACGGTTTTTAAGGGCAGGTCGTAAAATATTTTATTGCTTTTGAATGTACAAAACAACAACGCAAAAAGATCATGAAAAATCTTCCCTCACTTAAAATCTCTATAAAATGCTGGTTCTTTTCTTGTAACACATTTCTCTTGGCATCGGTTAGGTCAATATCGTCCTCGCTAGATATAAGAATATTCTCGTCCTCAGTTAGGACAATCATTATGCAGTCTCTACGTGTACAATTACAATTATCTCGTCTTTGTCAGTTAAGACAATCATATAGCGGTTCTCAGTTAAGCCAACTTGTACACCAAGGTGATATCCAACATGTCACATACAACATCCAACATGCGATAAATGTTGCGTATTTCATCATAGAGTCCAAGTGTAAAACGCAACATAAGATAATGTCGCATATTTCATAAATAGAATACATGAGCGTACCAATACTGGAACTTCAGTATTTGAAATGTTTTCAAGTAAAGAAGATGTAATTGTAGCTTAGCAAGACGTCAAAAAAATAAGAAAATAAAAGAGAAACATGCTGAATTTAACACATTGCATAGTCCAGCAACTGTTTCACAAGAACAGTTAAACTTCTATCCTTAGAATTTCAAGGAATATTATAGAATGAACAATTCACGCTTTAGATATTTAGAGGAAACTGTAGCTCCAGATATATGGAAACAAGATTCTCATTGACGAAAGGTTTCATTTTGCTTATTGTATATCGCCTTGGTGTGCGAGCCCACTAATAGAACCATATGTCGCTTTAGTTATCGCACAAACAATTCAAAATATTCGCCAACATAGCAGATTATTGTTTATTACTATTTAAATGGGAATAAGCCACAATTAAAGGTTAAAATACTTTATTGACGTTTCAATTTCCACTTCGGAAATCGTTTCCAAAATAGAAGTAATGGATTTTAACAAGAGCTATGAGTCATGCCGATTTAGTACAGAAGTTCACCTGTTATTTACAAGGTCATAACTCTTGTCCTATACTGTAATTATAACAGTAGACCTTACAACAAAGGGGAGAGACATAAAAATAATTGGCATCTATGCACCCACGGACGACTCAGATACAAACACTAAAGACATGTTCTTTGACAAACTCTCAGAAGAGTTAAATAAAATTAAAAAAAAAGGCAAGAAATAGTCCTGCTAGGGGACCTGAACGGAAGAGTAGGTAAAGCTCTTGACAACAAAATAATTGGACAACACGGAGAAGATGTAGTAAATGAGAACGGAACAAGATGGTTGGAGGTATGCGAACAACATTCGTTAAAAATACTGAATGGATTTTACAAACATAGAGACATAAATAAATATACATGGACAAGAAAACTGCAGTCAATTATAGACTATATAGTAGTTAAACAAGAGACATCTTTCAGACCCTACGATGTAAAAGTTTGGAGAGGGGCAGAATGTGGATCGGATCACCTACTAGTAAGGGCTCCGTGGAAATAAGATATATTAAACAAAATAAATCCAAGAACAGACAAACAAAGAATCCACAGGGCTCTATAACATAGACAGCTTAAAAAATGAGTCCACACGTTTTCTTTATAAACTACCTTTGGCACAAAAATTGGACGAAGAAATAAACGGAACAGCGGAAGAAATGTATGAGACTTTGAAAATCAAAATTCATGAAGCAGCATTAGAAGCTCTAGGTACGAAAGAAAAAGTAAAACGTAAAAATTATTGGTGGACAGAAGGTTTATTGGAACTAGTAGAAGAAAAGAAAATACTGTATCTCAAATGGTTAGCGACAAAAGATGAGGAAGACCGAAAGAACTATAACAGATACAAATATATAGTAAAAAAGGAAATTAAAAACACAAAAAACATAACCTGGGACAATAAGTGTGCAGAAATAAGCTCAATGGTAGGAGGATCTAGGTCCAGACAAGCTTGGAAAACTATCAACAGTCTTAGAAAAAATACAAACGAAACAAAAAAAATAAACCCCATAGACCTAGAAAGATGGAAAAATTATTATGAAAATCTATTAAATGAACAACGTACACAGTTTCTAGACACACACATAGATAGAGTTGAAACGGGGTTAAATGAAGTGGCGATGATTACCGTAGAAGAAATAAAAAACGCATTACAAAAAATGAAAAATAATAAAGCTTCTGGGCGGGTGATTTACCTATCGAGTTATTCAAACATGCCACTGCAATAACATTAGAATTGCTTTGTAAAATGTTTAACAAGTGCCTACAAGGAGAAAGTATCCAAGAGATTGGAAAGTCTCGTACATAAACTCCATCTACAAAAAGGGAAACAGGAATGACTGCAGTAATTACCGAGGTATCAGCATTACGTCATCCACTGGCAAACTGTATGAAAGAGTTCTGAAAGCCAGAATAGAAAAAGAAGCCACAGAGATCGAAGAACAAAGTGGATTCCGACCAGGGAGATCTTGTGTCGACAATGTATTTACTCTCAAACATCAAACGGAAAAGAGATTAGCAAGAGGACTAGAACTTCATGCCACTTTTATAGATCTCCGTAAAGCGTTTGACTCCGTACCACTGCAGAGACTATGGACAACATTGGAAAACGCAGGTATAAATGCAGTATATATAAATGCCGTGAAAAAGCTATATCAAGATAACCAAGCTTATATTAAGGTTGGAGAACCAAATTTCCAAGGGTTTCACCTAAACAAAGGGTGTCAAACAGGGCTCTTGCCTCTCCCCAACCCTATTTAAAATATATCTTGGTAATGCTTTAAAATATTGGATGAGAAAATGCAGCCCAATGGGCATATGGGTAAATGACACTCCTATATACACAATCCTCTTCGCAGACGACCAGGTAGTTCTTGCCGAGGACCTACAAGATATGACGTACATGATAAACAAACTAATAGACGAATTCAAAAAATGGGGATTAGAGGTTAATACCGAAAAGACACAATACATGAATATAGGAGGCATCGGTCAAGACATGGAAACAGAAAGCGGATTAATTAAAAACGTTGATCAGTACGAATATCTCGGAGTTACACTAAGCGAAGACGGGAGAGACGACAAAGATATAACAAGAAAATAGGAAAAGGAAAAAACATGATAAAAACACTACATCCGATCCTGTGGAATAAAACTTTAACTAAGAAAACAAAGAAAAATATATATCAGGCTATGATTCAGCCGGTGCTGACGTATGGGTCAGAAGTGTGGGTCTTTAACAAGAATATGTCACAAAAACTCCTCTCAACGGAAATGATGTACTGGAGAAGATGTTCCGGGTTTACTTTGTTTGACAACATAAGAAATGAAAACATAAGAGAGAGAATGAAAGTAATGAACACAATAATGGATACGATAGCCGAAAAACAATTAAAATGGTATGGACACCTGAGACGGATGAACGAAGAAAGGATACCACGAAAGGTTTGGAACTGGAGATTTACACAGAGAAATAAAAGGGGAAGCCAAGAAAGAAATGGATATCCAATATTCATATAGAAATGGAAAATAGAGGTCTTCCTTGTCCTTGTCAAAATCCATTAACTATACAAACTAAAGTTTGTATTTTAAGAACGATTTCCGAAGGGGAAATTGAAACGTCAATAAACGTATTTTAACCTTTAATTGTGGCTTATTCCCATTTAAATAGTAATTACCTAAAAATGCCACAAAAAAATAACTTCAGAACAATACAGAGTATTTTTTAAACCCAGTTTTCAAAAAACATTGTAATAAAAGTGTTTTAAGCATAAAGCACAAAGACAGCATTAAGAAAATTTGAAACAAGATAAAAATTCCACTTTCCTTTTTCCAATTTATATAATGTGTAGTATTCTCTTATGTTATATTAAAGCATGGACTATAGCTAGTATCATAAGGTCTAAGGGATTGTACATTATCAAAATGTAGTCCTATAAGAAGGGCTAAAAATTCCGTGGGCTTATATTTATTACCACAAACACAATATTCACATGATTAAGAAGAAAAATTAGACTATCTTATAGTTTACTTTTATGAACGAGAGAGTAATTAGCATAATTTTAACTGGTATCTCCGACCACTCCATGGGCGTGCTCAAGATTAATTAAAAAATTACTTTGAATAATTGTAAAAAATAAATGAATTATTTCAGTGTTATAAAGTGTTATGTGTATGTAAACAAAAGTGACCTCTTTTATCACACACAATATTAGAACTGACTGGCCTGAAAGCCCTGAATGGGTTTTAAAAAATTCACATTTTTTTTAATTTTTAAAAATTACAAAAGAGAAAGAGTTTTTAAACCCGTCTAAGGTATGTTAAATAAATGAATAAAAATATTAATATAAAACTTACATCTACTTGTTACAAATCCAAATCAGATTCAGAAGATGAACTTTCAG